CTCCGATTGGATAATCGGATATGTGGAACAGAGGAGAATGTTCTTCTTTTAGGTTTATTCTCAATAACATCTCTTCCCCTAGGTGTTGCTGATGTAGAGAAGGTGGAGGAGAAGTCAGCAATAGATCTGACCCCTATTGTAGTAGAAGACAAAGGTGGGTGTTTGGAGAAGTTGTTGTGGTTTAGAAGAACTCTAAAACCAGAAGCAAGGACTGTATCTGCCCTGCCTCCCAAGCCATACCCATCTAGCCGTTTTATCCCAAGATAAAAGACTGCACATGTCTCCACATTTAGTTGTCAGTGGGCCGATGGCACTATTTTCCGGGTCTGAGACACACCCAGGTGGAGAAGGGGTGGAGGTGGATGATTCTTGGAGCACACAGTGTTCTGGGTAAGGGCAATGGTGCTGGGCTTTTGTCTGGAACTGATATTTTTATTCTCTGTATTTTGTAGAAGAGAAGAAAGAAGAAGAAGAGAAGAAAGAGGTGATGCTTCAGAATGGAGAGACCCCCAAGGATCTGAATGATGAGAAACAGAAGAAAAATATTAAACAGCGTTTCATGTTCAACATTGCAGATGGTGGTTTTACTGGTATGGAACTGAAGGGCCCACCAGGGTTAGAAGGATCTGATGTGAAATTGGGGTTCTTGTTAGAAACCATGGCACAGGGACTTTACCTCTGTTAGATGAAGGAATGCTAAACTGATGGTGTACTCCCCTGGGTTCTGTGTAGAAAGCCAGAAGCAGATTATATGAAGATGGATCCAGCAGTAGGGGAGGGTGGGGGACAAGAATAAGTAGATTTTTCAATTCTCACAGATGTTTGCTTTTTTTCCCCGTTCTCCAACCTTTCATAAATTCCTCTTCAGAGTTGCACTCCCTTTGGCAGAATGAAGAACGGGCAGCCACAGTTACCAAGAAGACTTATGAGATCTGGCATCGACGGCACGACTACTGGCTGCTAGCTGGTATCATAAAGTATCCTTTGCCTGAATCTGGCCTGAGGCTTTTGGTGAAGGGTTCTGAAGGTCTCATAGGTTGAGGTTCTTATTTTCCTTGTTTTGTTTTTCCTGAGCACTTTTCCAATAGCCATGGCTATGCCCGGTGGCAAGACATCCAGAATGACCCACGATATGCCATCCTCAATGAGCCTTTCAAGGGTGAAATGAACCGTGGCAATTTCTTAGAGATCAAGAATAAATTTCTAGCTCGAAGGTTCAAGGTGAGCGGGTTGGGGAGGAATATAACGCTTAAGTGACAAACTTGAAAGTGCATCAGACTTGCAAGTTAACTGTACATGAGCTGTAGATGACTATGTGCCCAGTAAGTGACACAGTAGTACAGAGGGTTTGTTTGGGTAACACTGCAGATTGGAGTATTCAGGAAAGATACAGAGATGGGACTGAATTGCATCTCTGAGGAGGTAGAGCTCTCAGTTGGTGGGCTGCTGGTTCTTTTTTTTTTTTTTTGAGACGGAGTTTCGCTCTTGTTACCCAGGCTGGAGTGCAATGGCATGATCTCGGCTCACCGCACCCTCCGCCTCCTGGGTTCAGGCAATTCTCCTGTCTCAGCCTCCTGAGTAGCTGGGATTACAGGCACGCACCACCATGCCCAGCTAATTTTTTGTATTTTTGGTAGAGACGGGGTTTCACCATGTTGACCAGGATGGTCTCGATCTCTTGACCTCGCT